GGTGATGGAAATGTTCCAGAACTAGACAAGTGGTGGTGGCCCAACGCTGTGAATGAGCTGAATCTTGCTGAATTGTTATGTGAGTTTCACCTCGATAAAGACAAAAACAGGCAAGGCTAGAACAAGCTAGAATAATTCAGGTCAATTTTCAATTTTGTGTCCAGAGACACAAAAATCCTAAATAAAATACCGCTACCCAAATCTAGCCGTGTGGGGCAGAATGACATCATGACCTAGCACAATTTGGCCAGAAAAGCACAGAGGGTCACCTCGGAAAATCTGGGTCATCTCTCTCTGTAAGCGATAGACGGACACTTGCTATTGCCAGGACACAGATTCTACACAATCGGAGCTGACAGGACTCCTGCAGACACAGGTCTAGGACAACCCACTCACGCCCTCCTGAGTGTGTAAACAGAACATTAACAAAAACAGAAACAGTCTTAAGAAAAACACTAGCAGAGTCACAAAGACGTGTTAAATCCTAAGTATAAACACATGAACCTAGGAATTCACCTTTAAAAAAATTTCAGAACTTCTGACACATCCGTTTGTTTGCTGCTTGCTTTTATTCTTGAGGTGAAATCTGCATAACATAAAATTCACCATGTAAAGGCATTATGGGAAGTGAAATCAGTGCCACAGGGGTCCCTAGAGAAGTCAAAGCCACATAACAGAAATGAAAAGGTGGGTGCCGGGGGTGCTGGGGGAATGGGAGTTAGTGTCTAAACGGGGACAGAGTTTCACTTTTCAAGAGAAAAAAAGCTCCAGGGATGGGCGGCAGCTGGCCAGGCTCGCACAAGATGGACATAGAATACTTACAAATGCCCCTGAGTTGTGCACTTGCAAGTAGTTAAAGTGGTAAATTTCATGTTACATATATTTTACAACTAGAAAAATGCAGAGATGAAGGTCACTTGATGGAAGAGACAGCGAGAAGGGCTGAGGCCAAAGCAAATGCATAAATGGCAGAGCTCTGCAAAATAAGCAGGTGAAACCGCAGCCAAAGCAGGAGCAGGGCTGGACGGGCCCCAGGCGCGGGGAGAGCGCCGCCTACTGGCCGCTTTCTGCAGTCCTTGTCTTGAGCAGAAAAGCGGTAATTTCTTCTGCACCGACACCCCAGTGTTTACCAACCAAGCGCATCGCTGAGAAAACAGACACCAGCAGAACTGAACCTGCAGACCTGTCACGCCCACCCCCACCGCCAACCTGCCAACCTTTGTCTGCCAACACCAGTCTTCTCTCCTCTGAACAAGCACGCGCTCAGCGCCAAGCCTCAGGCTGGGCGCCTCTACCCTACTTGGCTATGTGGGCACTGCCCCAGGAGCTCTCTTGCTGCTCAGTCCTTCCCATTAGCACACAAATATGCTGACTCACCTTCCACCTTGGTTTTTATTACCGAGGTGAAATCCACATGACATAAAATTTACCATGCAGAAAGCAAACTTCAAGGGCCTTCTGTATATTCACTGCTATCTGTTGCAGGGGAAATCGGGGTGTTGGGCAGAGGTGTGGGGGTGTAAAATTACCCCCAAGAGACAGAATGGGAGACAGAAGGGCAAAAGACACTGGTGAGAGGAGCAGGGTCTGAGGCAAGAGGAGCCCCTAGAGCAGCTGTGCATGGAGGGGGCTTGAGGCTGTCTTTTATAGTCTGTTCTCACGAGCTTTCTTCCTGGGGTGCCAGTTTGCACTAGTTATCTGCTAGGATGTGCGGTCTTAGGCATTGATCTTTGACACAGAATGTGCCCCAACTCCCCTTCTGCCTTTCCGGAGCTCTGCTTGTCAAGGTCAAGGGGGAAGGGGCTCTTCCGTTCCTATGGCAGCCGTGTGCATCCCTTTATCCAAGTTTCCCAAGCGTGCAAGCTGGGCAAGGAGTGGGGCTTAGTTTATATAGTAGTGACACCCCTACACTACCTACTTCCGAAACACATTCATTCGGCAAGTAAGCTTATGCAGAGACGGTCCACATCATTTACAGACAGGGAAAGCAAAATAGAACCATCCAGAGATGCCACTACAGCGCTCATTCGGGCAGCAAATCTACAGCCACCCACACTGCCCGGATGTGGGGCCAAAGGAGCTCGGGGGCACTGCTGCTGGGAACGCGAGATGACCCAGCTGGGTTTACAGTTTCTTACAAAACTAAACTAGACCACAATCCAGTAATTGTGCTCCTTGGTCTCTCCCCAAAGCTGTTGAAGACAGGTCCACACTGAAACCTCCACACGGATGTTTATAGGTTTTACTCAAAATTGCTAAAACTTGGAAGCAGACAAAATGTCCTTCAGAAGGTGACAGGATGATTACATCGTAGTAAACCCAAACAGAAGAGGCAAGCCTGGGGGCCTCCTGGTGGTGCAAGTACCACACTATGAAGCTGTCTGCAGCCTCTGCAGCAGGAGTTCAATGAGTTCGATCCCCGGCTGGCCAGGGAGCTACCCACAGGGCGCAGCAGACCTCTCCTGACTCGCCCGCTGCTCCCCTCAGCAGTGGATTTCAGTGGATCTGCCTGTTCTGCTCCCCACTCTGTCTCTGGTGAGTCCTCTCACCACCACCCTCACCCCCGCCGCATCCCTGGGCTGTACCCCAGCTCTTGTAGGCATAAATAAATAAATCTTTATAAAAAAAAAAAGAAGAAGAAGAGGAGGCAAGCCTGGGATGAAAGGAGCAAAATCAAGTGTAAGAGGGTACGCCCCAGGGAAGGGAGGGTGCGGGTTCCCTGCCCACCCAGGGAGGGGTGGAGCTGGGCAGGGAGGCAGACGCCAGAGAGGACGGGGAGCTGGCAGGGAGGGGATCAGGGAACCCTGGAGGAGGCCCATGGAAGCCACGCCTGCTCCTCGGCCTTGGGCTGGTACCAGGGACGTGGGGACAGAGGAGACACTTGAAAGAGAGACGTGGGGAGAGACCTGGGGCAGGTGTGTGTGGGGGGCTGACAATGGCGGCCTTTACCTTGATGTTGATTTTGCTCCTTTCCTTCCAGACCTGCCTGGCCCCTTCCGCCCCTTTCCTGTGGGTCCCCCCAGAAGGTGCCTTGACTTGTGGGAAGTTTTCTGGCCTCAGCGGTCCTGCTTTGGGCCAACTCTTGGCTGGGCATGGACGCACGAGGGGGTGGGAACTTGGGGTGTCCCGGGGAAACTATTCCTTCTCTTCTGACTGCACACTAAGGATATTAAAGTGACTTTCTGCTGAAGGTCTTAGGCACTAGAGTACGTTTTGTCTTGATGCAGTAGATGGCAGAGCCTTAGAGCAGGGAGGTTTGGGAGTCCTGGGGTGCCCCTCACCCTGCCCTGTAACGGTTTTACCTAACCCACTGCAACCTGGGCCCAGGGGAGCTGCCCTTTTGTCTGTTTGACTCTGCTCTCCGAAACTCTGCCCCCTTCCCTCCTCCCTCCCCTCCTGAGCCTTCCTCTCCTCCCGCACCCCCTCTCTTCCAGACTGGCTGCACCCCTGGTGTCCCTCTCCCTCAGTGGACACGGGTGGAAAGATCGGTGCTTTCTCTGCACCTCCACGTGGGGGCACCACAGATCTACCAGCCAAACTCGGTGGCCCCGAGACTGGCCCCCTTCCTGGGGTGGCTCAGCCCAGACACTAGGACGCCCTGCCCTTGTCTTTCCCTCGCGCCTCCAACGCCCACCTGGTCCGCCGGCCAGTCCTGCGGCTCCGCCAAGCTCTTCCACAGAGGAGGCAGATGGAGGCACCCCACGGCCTGTGCCGCCCCGCGGGCCCTCCTTGGGCAGTGGCCGCCTTCCCTTCCTGGTCCGGGGCTCCACCTCTATGCTCCCCGCCCACCTCCCCCGGAGCGCAAACACCCTCCCCCATATCTTGCTCCCCTTTGTTTCCTGCTCTACCCTGAACACCTGGAACAATGTCTAGGCAACAACAACATTCCGCAAATGTCCTTTGGAACATAAAACGCATCTCGGCCCGCTCAGGGCACTGCCACAGACTATGTGACTTAAACAACAGAAACTTGCCGTCCCCCAGCTCTGCGGCTGGAAGTCCAAGATGAGAGAGTGGCGGGTGGGTTTCCTCTGAGCCACCCCTGGCTAGCAGGCGGGCGCGCCCGTTCCCACACGGTCCTCCCTCCCGGCATCCCTGGGGTCGGGGTGTCCTGATTTCCTCCTATAAGGACGCAGGTCGTGCTGGATTGGGACCCACCCAGATGACCTCATTTAACCTCATCTAGCACTTCAAATGTCCTCATTTCCAAATATAGCCACATTCTGAGGTCCTGGGGATTCACAGGACCCCTTGTGAATCTGGAGGGCACCCTAAGAGTCGCCCGTAGCGATATATTTACCTTAGAATTCATCCATTAAAAATGTACAATTTGGTGGGCCTCCCTGGTGGCGCAAGGGGTTAAGACACAATGAAGCTGTCCACAGCCTCTGCAGGATGAGTTCAATCCCCAGCCGGCCAGGGAGCTACCCACATGGCGCAGCAGACCTCTCCCGGCTCACCCGCTGCTCCCCTCAGCAGTGTATCTCAGTAGATCTGCCTGTTCTGCTCCCCACTCTGTCTCTGGTGAATCCTCTCACCCTCCACACCTCTGGCTTGTACCCCAGCTCTTGTATGCATAAATAAATAAATATTTTTTTAAAAAAAGTACAATTCGGGGCCTCCCTGGTAGCGCAAGGAGTTAAGCCCTGCACTGTGAAGCTGTCCGCAGCCTCTGCAGCACAAGTTCAATCCCACATGGCGCAGCAGACTGTCTCCCGGCTGCTCCCCTCAGCAGCGTATTTCAGTAGATCTGCCTGTTTTGCTCCCCACTCTGTCTCTGGTGAATCCTCTCACTCCCTGCATCTCTGACCTGTACCCCAGTTCTTGTATGCATACATAAATATTTTTAAAAAAAAATAAAAAATGTACAATTTGGTGGTTTTCAGTAAATTCAGAGATATGTTCAACCGCCACAATTTTAGAGCACTTTTATCTCTATAAAGAGAAACCCTATGCCCTTAACTGCCCCACCCCACGTTCCCGATACTCTGTGAACTTACCTACGGTGACAGCGTCCCGTCAGTGGATGCCGACAGCATGGCGCTTCCCGCTGGCCTCCCTGAGCGCCCACGCCGTCCAGTGCGTCCGTCCCCCCGTGGGCCTGAGTCGTGCCGCTGTCCAGACCACGTGTGCTGTCCCCTTCTCCGGAGATAGCCCTCGGCTTGGTTCTGCCTCTTGGCTGTTAGAATCGTGCTGCTATGAACATTCCCATCCGACAAATGCGTTCTGAATAAAGGAAGAACTTCAGTCATGCAATCCACAGAACTGTATAAAAGCAGAAATTCAGACTGTGGCAAGACAGTAGGAGAAAGCGTCAGAACGGTCCTTTGGCCCCAACTGCTTTCTTTCTCTGCTCCTCTGCTTGAGGGAACAGAGCTGAACCCGATGTGCTTACACGTGGCCACCACTGACCACACCTGAAGTCAGGCAGGAAACCCTAGAAGGAAAGCAGCCTACTCCCGGTGGTCCCCCGGAGACCCCCCCATTTCCCTCCCCACAGCAAGACCCCGGGTTGGGCTCAAGCACACGGCGGGCAGAGCTGGGGGCTGAGCTGAGAGGGCAGGCCGAGGGCCCAGCCCACTGAGCCTGCCAGGTCAGGGCAGTTGTTGTACCCTGGGAAGCGGGCACCTCTGCTCTGCCTTTGGCAGCAGCGCCCCATCCCGGCTCTGCAGGCCTCAACATTTGCAACAGAGAACACTGAGCACCCCACACGCTGCCCTGTCCAATGTTCAGACTCCTTCCTCCACGGTAGGGGGGTACCAACGCCAACTCTTACCCCCCCAGGGAGCCCCCCAAGTGCCCCTACACACTCTATCCCCACCCAGCATCCCTTCCTCAGGAGCCAGCTCCCCGCCTGCTGGACATCGGGGATCCCAGACCTTCCTGGGCCCTCAGCGCTCCCCAGCCACATGACATCAGCTGGTGGCAGACACCCGGCCCCACTCCAGGGACATCAGGGAGGGCACTGCCCGCAAGGAGCTCCCGAGGGCCCGCACCCCCTGTTCAGAGCCGGGGCACGCATGCCTGCATCAGCAGTCCGGGGATGCCTCGACTGTTCTGTTTCTGTTCTTGATGCCCTGGCTTCTATGGCCTTGCTGACCAGGAGGGACTGTCCCCTGCAGGGTCAGCCAGTTTCTGGAGACAGCAAACACCTCACCAAGCACACCGTTCCCACGCAAGCCCCCTCCAGAGCCCACATGCTCCTCTCTGTCCACTCCAGGCCACCCCCTGCCCTGGTGACCCCAGGACATGGGGGGAGCCTGGCATCAAGCTTTAGATGGGGGCGCTGGTTTCAAAAGATCTGCACCTCGAGCAGCCACCCCCAACTGTACACACCACTGGTGCAGCCGTCAGCAGGAGTGAGGCTGCCCCCCCCACCCCCATGAAGACCCTTGGGAAGGCCCTATGCAGCCCAGATTGTGGCCACATGAGTGGCATGACCCATCTCCCCCTTCCCACACCCTAGTTTCCATTTTAATGCTTTGCATTAGCACCAAGAGCGAACCCGGGAAAATGCAGGCCCCCGACTCTCAGATCCTGATGAAGGCACAGCCCTGGGACCAGGCTCCCCCTCCTCACTCCGGGCCTGAGGGGTAACTCCTCTAGGGTCTCCTGATGGTTATGCTGAAGTGCTCCTGTGACCCTAACACCCCAGGGGCTGCTCCAGTCACACTGTCCTGGCTGGGAGAGGTCTTGGGGGCCCCACAAGTGGTACAGCCCAGGTGAGAGCCCTGGGCACCCCAGCCAAACTGTTCATAGGCTGATACCCACACAACTGGTCCCTCCACCTCAGGGTCCCCTGAAATCGTTCAGACTAGTCAACCCGAAGCCTGCTTGCCCCACTCGGCCTCACCCACTCCTTCCAACGGAAACCACAATAAAAGCCCCTACCCACATTGTCCTCTTGCGCCCGCGGCTCCTGACTGTTGGTACGTCCCTGTGTGGCTTTGCAGGGCTGGGCCCTCCCTCGGTACCTGAGATGCCCTCAGCAGCCTGGACCACAGCGCCAGCATTTCAGCCAGGGCGGAGCAAGACCCACCGGGGACACTGGCTTGCACGTCGACGGGAGGAGCCTCAGTGGACAGGGACAGAGCCCCAGCCCTGCTCCTCTTCAAAGAAGCCAGCTGCCATGCTGCGCAGCTACCCCAGCCCCTGCCTGCCCTGATCCCAGGAAGCCGGAGGCAGAGTGGCAAGGGGTGCCCTGAGCTGGGGCTCCAGAAGGGGAACTGCAGAGACCCCAGGCTGTCTCAGCAGACGGAGAAGGCACAGAAGGCCAGAGGCAAGCAGAGGGTGTGAAGCACTTTAATCACCACTCCCAAAACGGGCAGCAGGAGTGTCTAAATGTAGGGTCACCCCTAGAGGGGTCTAGCCAGCACCCTGTTCGATCAGAGCACATTTCCCACCCAGGCTTGCTGCACCCAGGGAGAGCCAGGTCTCCTGGTTCCCGGGCCACATCTGCAGGAGCACAGGACGGAGGTGCTGCATGGACAGAGGCACCCAGGTGCAAGGGCTGCACCCCAGCAGCCTAGTGTGTGTCCCAGAGCTGCCACACTCAGCGCCAGGGGCCTGAGGAAGGGCGTGTCCTCAGAGCAGCGAGGTCTTCCTCTCCGGCAGCAGCAGGGACTCCTTCACCACCAGCAGCAGCCCCAGGGGGTGCAGGCACCCCGGGGCCCAGAGGCGGGACAATGCCAGGATGGCGGTGGCGGCCACACCCACACTCAACACCACTGTGGGGGACAAGAGATGGGAGTGGGTGAGGGGCGACGGGAATCCCAAACCCCCAAGCACCTAACACGTGGGAATGAGGAGTCTTCACTCATCCCTTTCCCTGGAGCGGGAGCAGGAGCCTCGTCTCACCTACAGCTGCAATGACCCCATAGGCACTTCGAGTTCCAGACTGGTCTGAGTCCCCAGTCGAAGTGGTTGTGGCATTCCTGAGATAGGTGACACTCTCCAGGGTCACCGGGGTCGCCATGGATGTGGCATTCTCTTCCTGGAGGGCCTCACTTCCTGCAATAAGCCCAGGCATTCAGTAGCTGGGAAGGGAGCATGAGGTGGGGGGTGAACAGGTATTCCAGGAGCCCTCGGAACCATGGGGCTCACCCTCTACCCTAGACTGAAGCTGCCAAGCACTGACCCCCCGAGTGACATTTTGCTGCTCCCCTAACCCCACTGGGAAGCAGGCAGGGCACACGTGTGTCCACGCCCCAGCCTGATCACACACAGGGTAGTGCCCGGTGTCCTTGCCTAGCCTAATGACCACCTCCACACCCGCCCCCGCCAGGCATGCTGAAGTCCCTGGGCTCCCACCACAGCCAAGTTCATCACTGGAGTCCGGGCAGTCCGGGTGACCATCGCAGAGCCATGTGTGTGGGATGCAGTCACCGCCCAGCTTGCAGCGCAGCTCCCCTGCAGGACAGGATTGCTGGGTGCAGTTGCCACTGTTCTTGTTGATGCCATCGGGACAGTCATTGCCATCACAAGAGCAGGGGCTGCCAGAGGGTGGTGGGCACTGCCCATTCTGGGCACATGGCTCGATCCCTAGGGCACAATGCAGATCAGGTCAAAAGGTCTCTTGTGCTCCCACTATCCAGGCCCCTACGAGCCCTGTCTTCTAAAAACAGTTGCCCTTGTAGTATTCATCCATTCTAAAGGCTCTGCCCCCTACTAGTAAGTTCCCCTTCCAAGCCTCCCTCAAGCCCCTCCTCCCCAGGCCCCACCAGCTCCAGTGGAAATCCAGACGGCCCTCCTTGCAAGCCCAGCCCACCTCCACCCCATCCCAGGGTCTCCTGCCTGGACCCACACCCTTCCACAAGCACCTTATTTCCTTTCCCACCAGCACCTCGAGTGCCCACCCTACATGCCAATCACCACCACCCTGCCCCACCCCCCCACCCCGGGGCGTGACCACTCACTGCACTCCTCCTCATCACTGCCATCCAGGCAGTCGCGGTCCCCATCGCAGCGCCAGGAGAGGGGCATGCAGAAGCCACTGGTGCGGCACTGAAGACTGTTGGGCGGGCACGAGCCTGTGCTGGGGTCTGTGAGACGCACACGAGTGAGCACTCTGAGGTAGAATCTGCACCCTCCTGCAGGAGCGGGGAGGTGGGCCAGCTTCCAGGACACTGGAACTACACCGGCAGCCTCTTCGCTAGGGACCCACTACCAGTGGGGCTGGAGGCTGAGCAGTTTGCAGCCTCACTGGGCGCTCCAGAGGCAGATTCCACCCCATCCCCATTCTAAAAAAAAAAGACAATGAAGAGCTGGAAGTGGCAGGTGCAGGGTGGGAACCAAGTCTCAGTGACCCAAGAGACTCAAGCCCCAAGCTCATGGTTAAAAGGACTTGGAGAGGCGCCATCTCTGAACCTGCCCAGCTTCAGGCCCATGGGGGTCAGCAGAGTCCATTATATCCCACCTCCTTAGCAAAGGGGACACTGAGGCCCTGAGCTGAGGACTTACTAGGCCACCCATCTTTGTCAACTCACCTAAGTTCCTCCCAAATCTGACCACTTTCCCCCAATATGAATGTGGCACCTTGTCACCAGGTCCCTACTGTCTCCACTCAGACACCACAGCCACCATCACCCCGCCCCCTCCCCTCTGCTCAGACCATCCCGTCCCTGCATCCTCCCCATCCAGCTCACCATCAAGGTGACCTGCAGTCACCTTGGAGGGGCTTCCTTCCCTGCTCACAAGGGTCTGGCCGCCTCTAGGTGAGGCTTCCTCCCCTAGCTTTGCCATGATCTGTGCTGACAACCTCTGACCTCCCTCCCTGGCCTGGTGAGGAGAATGTTCCTCCCAGAGCTCACAGCAGAACAGAGTGGACTCAGAGTGGCCTGCTCAGGACAGTGGGGTCAGAAGAAAGTTTGTCAAGGGAGGCATCATGTCCCCCGCACCCTCTCCCAGGAAGCTGCCTGGAGGAGCTACCAGGAACTGGGGGAGGAGCTGAGCAGTCAGGTGAAGCTACGTGACCATGACCATGACAATGACCGGAAGGGCTCTTGCTCCCCCAGCTTTGACTTGCACCCAGGGGGTTGGGGAGGGGACTTGAAAGGAGACGTGTGGAGAGACATGTGGAAACACCTGGAAGACACGTGGGGAGCTGACAGTGGCAGGCAGCCACTCTCTTAATGTGGCATCTCCTGTCCCAGCGCCTTGGGACCTGCTTCAGAAGCCCCTTCCCATGGTTCCCGGCCAGAAGGTGCCTCAGCCGTGTGGCGAGCTTTTGGACCTCAGCAGCCCTACTTCAGGACGACCCTGTTTGGCCAGGCACTTGCCCACCGAAAGACAGAAAATTGGGGGGGGGGCGGTATTTATTAAGAAAGCATTAAGTACATCCTCTTTCTTCCCATGCACAGTAACTATTAAAGATCATTCACACTAAAGTGTCTGCTGCTTTTGATTTTATAAAGCAGATGGCAGGACCCCGTTTTTGAGTGTGTACCCACTAAGTTAGAGGACACCAGGTGCCCCTTGGTCACGCCAGCAAGCTGAGATTACTAGCTACTTCCCCTGCCAACCTCAGTCTCCTGACCTGTGAAGGTGGTGGCCAGGAGCCCCGCTGCGTGCTGAGAAGTAACTGCTGGTGTGTAGTTTGGTGCCCGGTTAACATGAGTCCTGCTGCTTTAAGGGATCAGGAACCTTCACCCCGCAGATGTGGGGTGAGAAGGAAGCAGGTAAGAGGAGAGGCTGTAAGAACCCAAGCGCACAGCTCACGGCTGGGAGCGGGGCGCGCACCGGCGTCCTGTCAGCAGCATGGACTCGCCGAGACCCTGGGTCGGGGTAGAGGCTTTCCTGTGCGAGCCGAGGCGGCGCGGGCGGCGACGGGCAGGGCTGCGGCCCCCCCGCCACCGGCCTCGGGCTGCCGCGAGGGCTCGGAGGGCACCTCCGCCGCAGGAAGCGCCGGGCGGCGCGCGAGCAGAGGTCGGGCGGGCAGCCCGCGGGGAAGCGCAGCGCCCGCGCCGCGCCGAAGGTCGCCGGGAGGCGAAGCCGGAGCGCGAAAGCGCAGAGCGGGGTGCGCAGGGCGCGCAAGGGCAGTGACAGGCCGCGGTGCCCGGGCAGGGAGAGCGCGCCCGGGCGGGCAGCGCCGCCGCGGAGCCCCCGGCCAGCTCGGGGCCCGCGAGCACGTGCGGGGGAGAGTCGGGGAGCGGCGCGCGGCGCAGCCAATGGCCGGGGAGCGGGCGCCGGGGGGGCCGGCGCGGCGCACTCACTCACCTTGGGCCCGCGCGGAGGACCGGGTCGGCACCGGGATCGGGGTGGCATGGAGGCCCAGCCCGAAGCCGAGGAGCAGGCGCAGCGCCAGGCCCAGGGCCGCCGTCGGGCGCGCTCCGCCGCGCGCCATCCAGCCCCTGCGCACCGCCCGCCGCGGCGCCGGCCACGCGCCGTCCCGCCGGCCTCCCCTCCGCGCACGCGCGCGCCCGGGCCGGGGTGGGGCCGCCGAGTCCCCGCGGCTACGCGTACCGTAAATAGCCGAAAGCGAGGAGCCGCGGGGTGTGAGGCTCCGCGCCACTTTCCCCAGTGACAAACCTAACAGAAGAGGTGGGGCCACTTGAAGCTGCAAACGTCTGGACAGGTGGAGGCACTTGTGGCCTTCCAGTCCTCACGTCCCGTGGGCACCTGCGGCAAATGCACTGCCCGATTAGCCCATTAAATACGGCAGCCGCGCCCCTTCGCTTATCGCTTTTACTTTGATTGATTGATGCCCGCTGGAAAGAAGTCGGCTCCCGTCAGGGGAATACCCGCTGGTCCGTTGCGTCCGCAGTGTCTACAAGAGTGCCCGCCACACAGTAGGCTCTTAACAGTTTGATGAATAAATTATTGAATATATGACGAATAAATGAATGAAACTCCAGACTTCCATTCTGTCCCTCCCAGCAGACGGACAAGCTCACGTCTCAGCGCCTCACTTCGCTCTCACAGCCCCCTCGGCGGGAGTTGAGTGCTTTTCACTTTAGGAACAAGATGTGGAGGCAGGCCTCGGGAGCCATCTTCTCAGGCTCACCGGGTTGGCACATAAAACACAAACCTCGGGGTTTTCTGGCCAACCTGCCTGCAGTGTTGTCTTCCTCTGCAGCGCTGCCCTCAGCAGTAGCCTGTCTGGCCGCCAGCAGCACCTCAGACGTGGTGCTGTCTTCAGCGGTAACACAGGTGTGCAAATGTTTGCCGCTCGCCAAGTGTCCCGTGAAATACCCCAAAGGGTGCAGGTTTTCACAGAAGGGGCTGTATTTGCAGTCTGAAGGCATGCTTCAGTTTAAAAATGTTGAAGGCGCTATGCTTTTGGCATGTTTTCATAATAATCTCCCGGATTCCGCAGGGCAAAGGAGTGAGAGCAAAGGAGGTGCACAGCCCACCTTCCCAGGTGTGTGTGTGGGGGGGGGGGAGGCACAGCCTCCCCTCTAGCTCAGCATCTTGGAGAGAGGCATCTGGGTGCAGGGTTGAAAGCTGAGGAAGCCATGAGCTCCGACTCCTCAGCTTCTAAGTTCTGTCAACAGAGCACGTCAAGTGATGACCTCACAGGATGGCTCCAGGTGTGAGCTGGAGCTATGGAGAGAAACCGTCAAACAGAACCTGGCACACAGGAAGCACTCAGGAGGGGTCAGATCTTTCCTCCTCTCCTTGAAAGGTTCAAGTCTGGGTCCCTCGGCTTTATGTGGAGACCCTCAAGAGGCCACCCTGCTCAGGCTCTTTCTATGGCTCCGGCAGCCCTGAGGCCACTTCCTTTTTAGCTTTTCACTCCTGCTCATCCTCCACCAGTCAGTGTTCCTGTCCCAGACCGATTCTGCCTCAACCCCCAGGGCTGCGCAGTTTCTGGCTCAGGAGGCCTTTCCTCACCTGCCCCAGGTAAGCCTTCTCTGTGAGCTGCCTTTATTGTCCTCTGCTCTCATCCCCCCAGCTTCAGGGCTGGCCAGGGTCAGTGTGTGTTTGGCCTTGTTGTCCATCACAGCTATGCTCCACCCAATGGCCAGAGGTCCCAGAACCCACACCAGCACCCCCAGGGACAGAGCCAAGTCCTTGGGGAAGGAACAGAGACATCCTGGAGGCCTTACCATGCCTTCTGATACCGAGCCCAGTCACCACATGCCACCCCGGAGGTCAAGATCTACCACCCCTCTCCCCACACCACCCTGGAGTGCTGACAGAACTAGAGGACTCAGGACAAAATTCACCTGGAAACCTAGGCAAGCCGTATGTTGCTTCAAAGTATAGACAGAAGTGATACACTGAAGCTCCATATATTTGTCATAAATTAGGTCATTTTCTCCCCAGAGGGAATCCAAGGAGGGAAAGCACAAGTGGCCCTGCAGGCGCAGCCGGCTGTCCCCGGGCGATGTCACAGGTAAGGCTGGTCCTTGGACAGCTCCCATCTCTTCATAGGAGGAGCTGGAGTCACGGGCACCTTCCCTGTGGCTGCCACAGAGGCGCTAGAAAACAAACAAACTTTGGTTAGGGCAGGTTTCCAAAGAACAAGGTAAAAATACATGAGGGAGACTATACCTGCCCCCTACCCCCTGCACAAACACCTGTGCTGAGGCCAAACCCCTCCAATAGGGTGCCCCAAAGAGCCCACTCTTGTTGGGAGTTACTCGAGGTTGGCTCCCACCTCGAGCCCCAGGTGAATCCCTGGTTAGCGGCCCTGACTCCTGGGCTGGAAACCAACCATGAACAGTTGAGCTGCCCCCAGCACACCTGCCCACTTGCAGCCTCGGGGTAGGGAGCACCCCACTCCTGCTGCCCCATAACAGAATGCTGGCAAAGGCCCACGTCGTCAGGCGACAGACATCCACTGCTCTTCTCTCAAATACACAGCCAATACCTGCTACCAGCAGACACAGCGAGGGGGCACAGGACTGGCCCCCGGGCTCCAGCCTCAGTCCGATAGAGCCAAGAATCAATGCACAATTGCAAAATACGCTACTTGCCCTATTTATGGTATCCTGTCACAGCAGAACTCTCTAAGGTAGATACTATAATTTTTTATTTTCCCAGTTTAATTAAAGCACCTGAAGCCAGTGATTAGGTTTTGAGGGACCTGAGGTTTGCACAATTCTTTCAAGAATACAAAGTTATGGGGTCTCCCTGGTGGCGCAGGGGTTAAAGACAGCGCTATCAAGCTATTGCCAGCCACTGCAGCACGCACGAGTTTGACTCCCCCAACCAGCCAGGGAGCTGAACCACACAGCGCAGCAGACCTCTCCTGTCTCCCCACTGCTCCCCTCAGCAATGGATTGCAGTAGATCTGCCTGTTCTGCTCCCCACTCTGCCTCTGGTGACTCCTCTCATCCCCCACTCCCCGCACCTCTGGCCTGTACCCCAGTTCTTGTATGCATAAAAAAATAATTCTAGGAAAAAAATACAAAGTTATAGATACAATACCTGGGCTCTCACAGGGCCCCTGAAGGGACCCTGCAGCTTCATCTGCTTTGCAGGAGGACCACCCTGGCTGAGGTCCTAACCCCTAACCTGGTCTGGGCGGGGATTAAATGAACTCACAAATGAAAAGGTTCTCCCAACCCACCCGGACAGGCCAGTTCCAGACACAGCTGATGCTCGCAAAATGAGCCCTTGAAATGCACAAGCAAGAGGGGGTGCTGTGGTGTCCTCACCTCTCTGCTGGCTTGCCTGACACCAGTGCCTTCTGTGAGGACATGACGACCAAGGGTGGCACAGATTCCCGGCGGCCATCTCGCATACAGTAGTGATTGTTAAAGAGCTTGTGGCTGGGGCCCACAGGGAGCTTGGGAGGAGGCTGAGTCCTAAGGAAAAAGAGCAGAGGCAATGAAGCAACCAAGTCACTCACTGGCAGGGCTGGAACATGGGCGCCGTCACCTCCGTCACAAGACTTGGGGTTGGCAACCCTGGGCCAGCTGTAGGTCAGGAGTAGCATTAGGTACAGTCCTACACATGTATCTGGGAAGGTCCAGGGCCCAGGATGTGGTAGCCCAACTCTGCATGTGAAGGTGCTAGAAAGTGAGACCTGCGTCTGCGCAACTTCAGGTCCTCCACCTACCCCAAGGAAAGCAAAGGCTCAGACTGGACACCAACATGTTCCCACCACCTCATGGCCGGGAGCTTGGCAGCTGGTCTCATTTCCACCTGCAGGTGCCCAGGAAATGAAGAGGCTGGAGAGTAAGGCTCTGCCCACCACTTACCAGGTAGTCACAGTCTTTAAAAGCTCTGGCAACAGCCCCAGAAATAGCTCATTCTGCAGGGTTTTGTCCCCAAAGACCAGGCTTCAGAATTCCTGTGTTTCCTGTTATTGCAGGAACTCTCTGAAGTACCCTACTGGGATCAAGAGCTTACTTACTACTCAAAGAGCACCTTGTCCTCCAAGCCTCCCAGGTCCCTGCACTTCCTGCCACCTCTGGTTGCTGCTATCAGAGTGGAGAGGGGAGGGAGTTCAGCCCTGACTTATGCTGAACTCTGGGATGAATTTACAAAGAATCCTGATACCATTAAAGGAAATGCTAACCTCAAAACATACAAGGAACTGCCGTGGAAAACATAGAGAGGGCGGGCAGAATGGGGGGAGAAAAACATGAAAAGATTGGTTTTCAGGGCCTCCCTGGTCGCGCAAGGGGTTAAGCACAACACTGTGAAGCTATCCGCAGCCTCTGCAGCACAGGTTCTATCCCTGGCCGGCCAGGGAGCTACCCACATGGTGTAGCAGACCTCTCCTGTCTCCCCACTGCTCCTCTCAGCAGTGTATTTCAGTCGGTCTGCCTGTTCTGTTCCCTACTCTGTCTCTGGTGAATCTCTTACCCCCCACCTCTCACCCCTCTGGCTTGTACCCCAGTTCTTGTTTGCGTAAATAAATCTTTAAAAAAAAATTGGTTTTCATTCGACCATGCTTTAAGATAACTTTTTGTCTGGTAACTGCTTGGCCAGGACTTAAAATTTTCTTAAAATAGTCATTGCGGGCCTCCCCGGTGGCGCAGTGGTTGAGCGCTGGGTTGCAAAGCTGCCCGCAGCCTCTGCGGTGCCGGTTCGATCCCCGGCTGCTCCCCGGCCACCAGAGGAGGGTCCCACATGGCGCGCAGACCTCTCCTGCCGCCCGCTGCTCCCCTCAGCAGTGTACTTTGGTCCTTCTGCCTGTTCTGCTCCCTGCTCTGGCTCTGGTCAATTCTCTCACCCTCCCACGCTTCTGACTGTACCAGTGCATGTACAAACAAAAAACAAACAAATAAATAAAACATGCCTCTATTAAAAAAAAAAATCATTGCATTTTCAAAAAATAAGTAATACAGATAAAAATAAGGCTTAACACTTTTTAATATTAAAAACAATATCCTGTGTGTAAGTTAGAATGTGTTGAACCTCTGGAGTGCAGAGATGACCCTGTAATGTGGCCAGTTTTCTGGAACCTAATACAGAAAAAGTAAAACCAACCAGTGTGAGCTCAGCCAGAACGCCCAAGTGATCCCTAGAGGGCGCCACTGTCCTAAAGTTGAAATTTTTAAAAAACCATGTCGTGAACTTACCCAACTCTGATGGAAAAGTAATTTACCCAACTCTGATGGAAAAGTAATTTACCCAACTCTGATGGAAAAGTAATTTTAGACTTTTAATATATGTAGTTAGTTACAACATGCATGCGTTTGCATAAATCTGGTTATTTCAATGCCATTTTTTCTTGCTATGTTCCTCAATGGCGGCCTTACGTTGCCCACCTCTCTAACTTTATATATGCTGCTCAGCCACCTCCTCTATTTACTTCAGCCACACCAGCCTCTTTCCTACCTCTGGCTCTGTTGGACCTCACAGACTTGGTGCTCACTACTCCCTCTGGCCAGAATGTTTTGCAGTAATTATCTTTTGAGTGGCTCCTTCTCATATTCAGGCGACTCAAATGTCAATCCCTCTTGAGACCTTTCCTGATAATCTGACCTGAGGTAACCACCCTCCACTTAACTCTCATTCGTTTTTGTTTTGTCTTCAGAGCGTCCCAGAACATTATCTGCTGTGTTTATTTCCCTAAATTTCTCCCTAGGATATGAGCTCCCTGAAAAGAATTAGGACTTGTTCACAGTGATTTCCCCCCAAAGCTGACACCAGACAAAGGCTTGGAAATATCAAGTTTTCCGACATAACCTTAGTTTGAAATCAAGACTTCTGGCTTGAAATCGCAGTTGTCACTTTCTAGCTCCTGAGTGATTTTAAGCAAATGATTTAGTATCTCCAAGTCTCAAATTTTTTTCATCTGTAGCTTGGGGATAACACTGTCAGGGCCACACTTAACACTGCATGCAAAGCACAGAGAATTCATGCCCAGCTCTGCCTCCACAGCCAACCACAGACTGGAGGCAGGATTTGGACTACTCCTACAGGGACCTAAAGCATACGGATTTGGCCTATGATGGAGGAAGGCCTGACCCGGGCAGGAGTCTGGGCAGCGAGCGGGGTCTGCTCACCGCTTGGCGATCTCCTGGTACCGCAGTTGCAGCTTCGCCTGCAAATTATGCTGTGAGAGGAGAGGAAGGAGGTCAGCCTGCAGGGCACCTCGGGAAAGGAGAGGGCGGGGCAACAGGGGCGGCCCGGGGATAGAGGATTGCAGAGAAGGCGGGAGATGGGTAGTCGTGAACATGGATATGGGCTTGAGGTGGAGGGGAAAGCCGGGGACGGGGAGACAAGATCCTGGGTTAAGAAGGTCCAGGACTACACAGATCCCAGATCCGAATGTGTTCCGGACTGAGGGCTGGGGGAGGGGGGCGTGTCCAGGGTTGACGGGGTCACGGCTGGGGGTCCCGGCCTAGAGGGATCGCGACACTAATACCCTCAGGCAAAGAGGCACAGGAGGGAAATAAGTAGCGGGAGGAGAGGGGGCGCGCGGAGCCCACAGCCCGCCCAGTGCGGCCCTTTCCGCCACCGCACCCCGGACGCCCAGTTCCGCAGCAGTTGGATGAAGCGCGTAGCAGACGCCATGTTTCCTCTGCTGAAGGGCGCTGGTGACGTCTCTACCGCAGGGGCTGCTGGGAAGGGTGTTTTGGTCTCGCGAGAGCTGAGTGGGCGGGGCGCCGCGGGTGGTATATAAGCCTTTCCCGGAACACGTGACTCCTCTCCGCCGGACCGCCGCCGCGCCGCCATCATGGACACCAGCCGCGTGCAGCCCATCAAACTGGCTAGGGTGAGGCGGCATTTCGGGGCCCCGATGAGGAGGGAGGAAGTAGGGGAACTGGGTGGGTTAAGTCTGACCCTCCCGTCTTTCCTCCAGGTTACCAAAGTGCTGGGCAGGACCGGCTCGCAGGGCCAGTGCACGCAGGTGAGCTGTTGGGGGCGCCCCGGCTGTGAGCCCTGGTACTGTCCCCTTCGTAGGCCCTGGGTCCTGCCAGCTGGAGTCTGAGTTGACGTCCCTTTTATCATATGGCCCCAGGGGGGTACGAGCCCTCACCCAAGGCCCTGCACCCGGGTCTGAGCTCCGTCGACTCCATTCCCCGGGCTCCGGTGTTGCGCTTTTGACTCAGCCTGTGTGATTCCGCCCTTGCTGAGTGTACCCCCGGCCCCGGGGGGCCCCGAGCCGCAGTGACCCCTCCTCCCGGTCGCTTAGGGCGCTCAAGAGCTTTGTTCTCCGTGTCTCGATCCTGGCTTCTCAGCCCATTGCAATATTCCAGTCCCTTTATTTTTTTTTAAGTGTCTTGGGGTTGGCTCCGACAAGACCCCCGAATCGAAATCAGCCGCCCACCCTGTCCATGACAGACTCTAACTCTTCGCCCTCCCCATGGCTCGGTAGGTGCGCGTGGAATTCATGGACGACACGAGTCGCTCCATCATCCGCAACGTGAAAGGCCCTGTTCGTGAGGGCGACGTGCTCACCCTTTTGGAGTCAGAGCGAGAAGCTAGGAGGCTGCGCTGAGCTTGGTGCTGGTGAGTGCAGGAGTGGGGCACGGGAGGAACTTCTGTTAGACCCTTGAGGGATGATTCGGGGGCTTCCCTAATTACTTGAGGGAGGGAGGGATTAAAGAGGCAAGTCCCAGGGAAGGAGTTTTCCTGTTTCGAGGGGGTTGTCAGCGCGTCTTGCTTGGGTCTGTTTTACAGGGTTCTGGATGATGTCTAGGTCCACCACCTGGCCTCCTGGGAAGAGCCTGCCACTGTCAATAAACCATTTATATTGTATGTAAACTGCTTGTTGCCTGACTTGCATTATCACTAGCATTATAAAGTCTTCCAGTGGGCCCTCCAGGTGGTCACTCTGGAAGTTGAGGGGAGTGGGGGTGGCTTTCCCTAAGAAGGCCTTTCTTTGAGGAGGGGAAGCCATCCATCTGTGTATCCCCCAAAACAAGATAGAAATAGGAATGTTTTATTAGTAAAGTTTGGGGGAGTATGGGGGTTATGGGCTCTCCTCGGCCCCCATCTCACCCTGATTCATCCAAAGTGATCCCCTTCTGAGGGGACACTGAGTCATCCAAGCTTTTCTCTTGTGCCAGCAGACCCTTACCCCAGCTGTAACCCAGAGTCCACAGTGTGGAGGGAAAGATGCTGGGTCCAGTGTTCCAGGCCGCTTACTGAGTCTGGGAATCCTCTTCTTTGTCACTGCATCTTCCTTCACCAGGCGTGGCCGAGGGGGAGTCAGGAGGTGACTGGTGAGAGATTGGGGGGAGGAGGTTCTTGTCACAGTGCTGCCTGCCGGAGGTTCCAGGTTTCAGACTCCAGGACACTTAACCTAATGAAAAGCTTTGCTTTTCTGCTGTGATGGTTCCTGAAGGGAAGGCCTGCCCTTTATGGCAGGACCAGGGTAAGAATCCTGCTTCTGCCCCATTTAATCCGGAGGATGTATGTGTTCCCCAAGCCTCTTTTCCCTCTACAGCAGGGTGAGTGTGGAATGGGCAGGCTGATGGGATGGATCTAATTATGAAGCTGTTCACAGGTGCTGAGAACATCCTGACACTTCCTTTTGAGTATCAGCCTCTTTCCCCTGGAGATAAGTTCTGTGTGTGCTGCTGGGAGACTCTCATCTAGCGCCAGGCCTGGCGCTCTGGCTTGCAGGGATTCTGTATCTTCCCCATCCTGCCTAATGCTGGAGGACTTCCTTAATCCTTTGCTGAGGGCCTCCTTGGGGTCAGTAATAAAAACCCACTGATGTGGAAGAGCTTGGAGTGCCTCAGCTCTGCCCCAGCCTTTGGTCAGCCCCCTCTGGAAGCCTCATGATTGATGAAGAGGTGTACAATTCATGGGCGTTTTTTTTGTAGGTTGAACATCAAACTTCAGCCACAGAATTCAGACCCAGGTTCCACTCCCCTGGAGAAACAAAGGCAGACCCCCTTCCTGGGGTTGGGGACCTCACTCACCATTGGACTTGACTGGTCTGAACTCAGATGGGTGTGCAGCAGGGCGGCCACCTCGTCCTGCTCAGCCTCCAATGCAATGGCCAGGGCACTGGTACCCTCCTGAGAAATGTAAAGACAAGTCAGGCTGCTGAACCAAGGCCAGGGTGCCATAGTCCTCAGCCCCATGGTGACTCACGTTGTCCAGGAGGGCAGGGTCGCAGCCTGGCTGGGCCAGCAACAACCGGACGGTGTCCAGACGCCCGTACTCACTGGCACACATCAGTGCTGTGGCCCCATCCGCATCTTGCACATTCACATCTGCCCCACATGCCAACAGGGCTGCCACCATGTCCTGGCGACCGTGGCTGATGGCCAGCATGAGGGCTGTCTGCCCTGTCTGATGTGTTGGAAAGAAGGGTACAAGGATGAGGTAGGCTCTGGGGAAAGGGACATCAGATAGGTTGGTGTCCAAAGTGAAAGTGGATCTTGGAGTTGAGCCAGAAGGAGTGTCCACACACCTGGCTAGCCTTGGCATTGACATCGCCCATGTGGAAGAGTCTCTGGACCACAGCCATGTCCTCTTCCTCCCGCCCCACTGAGGTGAGTGCAGACAGCATGAGGGCCGAGTAGCCGGCACGGTTCTGGCGGTCAACCTCACAGACACCTGAAACCGGGGGAGGTGTCAGTGAGCAGAGAAGCTGGTGCCTCCAGCCCAACCCAGTCAGCTCACTTCCCTCCAAGCCTCAAGTTCATCATATGGCCTGCAGGTCACCTGGATGTTGAATTTACTCTTCCTCTGCAGTCTTTTCTCCCCATTAACCATCGCATGTGGGTGGAATCACGCCTTACTCTCTGCTAAACTGGGGCTTGTGCTCTGTAGGCTGCTGTACCCCCCCCAATACTTAGCATTTAGTAGGTACTCAGTAAACATCTGTTGGCTGACTAAATGAATGTTTGTTTTCATAGTGATTACCATCAAGCCTACCATTTTTCCCCCCTAGAAAAATGTCACCTTGTCCTCCCTGGTATCCAAATCTTTTCGTTTCTGTGCAACAGCCAGAAGCAGCAGATGAAAGGAGCTTGGCCCAGTCACTTGCCTATTTAAAACCCAAGCCCCCGGTACTTTTGAATGTGGCCTTTGGAAATAGTTTTCGTAAGAATGATCATGAGGGTGAGATCATTATGGTAGCCCCGATTCTGTATGGTTGGCATCCTTAGAAGAGAGGCAGATGATGCCACGTGATGACGAAGGCAGAATGGAGTTGACACAAGTGGAGGAAAGCTAAGGAGTGCGGCTGCTGGATGCTGGAGGGAAACGGGGAGTGCTTTCTCCCGAGCTCCTGAGAAGGAACCAGCCCTGCCCATGATCTGATTTCTGAATTGCCCTGAATTGGTCTAAGCCACCTGCAACTGGGCGCTTCGTTACAGTAGCCCTGGAAACAACTGTTTGCCAACACTAGCCTCCACTTCTCTGAAATCGGTTCTGTACCCATCCTGGCCCTCATCCCCACACCAGGGACCTCTGCTGGACTGGTGACTAGAGTGACTTACTGCCCATCACCCCCACTGTCCTGAGCTTAGGGACAATTGGGGGGCTAATGGGTGGGTGGGAGGCATGCATGGCATAGCATGTACACTGCAGTGCTGGACATGCTGTCCAGCTGCTTTTCCATTCCTTCCACAAGCTTGGTGAACCTGGTGGAGGCAAGGAGACAAAGGCAGGGACGGCAAAATGGGCTTCCCAACAGGTCCAAGGATTGCTAGCGTTGGACAGAAGACAGCTGAGACAGTGGGAGGTTAAGAGTCCAGAAGAGGGTGCTGGAAACCGGAGGCAGCGTAGTCTACGGGGTGGCCTTACAAGTGGAAGGGTGGCGTGGATCAGGGGAAGGGAGAGGAGCACAGCTCAGAATTGCGAAGCCAGATGAAAGGAAACAGTCCCTGCATGAGGGGCGCCCTGAGGCGCCCAGGGTTTCCATGACCCGAAGGGCAAGGCTGGCATGACGGCAAGCAGGCAGGGATGGGATGACCCGTTCAAGAAACAAAGCCTGGGACACTGGAGCTAAATGGGAGCTTGAATGCACAGAATAAAGGGGCCCAAGGAGCCTTGGGCCTCTTGTAACGGACTTGTGCCTGCTTTGCCATCTGCCACAGCCCTGTCCCCACCCTCCAAGGCAGGAGACTAGGAAATTTTAATTCGTGACACTTCCCAGTACCTGGCCAGGGCAGAGCAGCTGTGTCCGTTCCCCAGCCATCAGAACCCACAGGGATCTGTTGTGTTGGGGAAGTGAGAGGAAGGTAGGGACACTAGGGTGCCTCTCAGCCTGCAGTGAGGGTGAGAGTCCCCAAGGGTGGACCCTGGGGCATACTGCACCTGAAGGAGCACTCAGGGGCTCTTGGCAGGCAGGTCCCCGGGTGGCGCACCGGTTGAACTCTGGGTTGCGAAGCTGCCTGCGGCCTCTGCAGCGGGGATTTGATCCCCAGCCACTGGGCAAGGGTCCCACAAGGCGCTCAGACCTCTCCTGCCACCCGCTGCTCCCCTCAGCAGTGTACCTCGTCAGTCTGCCTGCTCTGCTCTCCCCTCTGGCTCTGGTGAGTTCTCTCACCCTCCCGCGCTTCTGACTGAACCCAGTGCTTGTATAAATAAATCAATAAATCTTTACAAAAACCAAAACAGTCCCTTGGGGAAAGCCCCTGTAGCCAGGGCCCACTCCCACCGTGGGCACTGTACTGCGCATACATGTTGGGGCTCAGCCACACCTGGTGTGTGTACATATTCCAGAGGGAGGAAGTTGATGCAGGGATGAGCCGGCAAGAGGCAGGTGATAGAAAAGTGGGAACTAGACTGGTGCCCACCTCGGGAGGGCAGCCAGGGTGCTGGCCAGGAAGCACCCACCCCTGAAGGAGGCAGGTAACTGGACCTTGGTGCTCAGAATGAGGTAGTCAGCAGGCTAGAGGCTCAGGGACAGCCTCATACCACTGACTAATCTGCGCCTGGCCCGCTCTGCACGTGAGTTCACAGCTGCCGGGGCAGGAGGCACTGCAGCCCCGTTCTACAGATGAGCAACCAAGGCGGGTGGGATGGAGTCTACGCTGCAGTCTATAGGAAGCCAGGTCCCCGCCCCCTGCAAAGTGAGAGGAGGCCAACCCACCTATGACTCCTGTAACCCAAGGAGTCAGTGGGCCCCGTCGCCTGGCCAGTCCTCTGCATTCGCTGCGTTCTCGCAGCCGGAACCCCCGAGACCCCTCCTCCCCGGTGCCCTGCCCGCCCTCCTCGATGCTGACCCGTGTCCAGGAGCAAGCTGGAGATGGCCAGGTTCCCGTGGGACACGCTGTAGTGCAGCGCTGTGTTTCCATTGCCGTCCGCCAGGTTGACCACGTGCTCCAGCAGCCCTGGTCCCAGGCTGGCCACGGCGCCCAGCATCCCGGCCACGGCCTCTGCCCGCGAGCGCCTCTGGCTGGACACGCGGAACCACTCCTGGGCCACCAGGCGCGCTGCACCCTGCGGGGCAGAGGAGGCCTCAGCCATGGCCCGGGGCACGTCTGCAGGGAAGGTGTGGGGCCCGGCCAGGGCGACCCCTTTGGCAATTCAGGCTGTGTGGACAGATGGCTCTGCTTGTCCGAGGAGGCGGAGACCCTCCCTTTCAGGAGGGGGTGGGGGGGGCACAGGCTTGGAGTGAGGGTCCTCCCTTCCGGAGAGGAGACCGGTAGATGCTGCAGGGGAGGGCGGTGGGGCTGGAACTGGGGGTTGGGTCCCTGCTGGGAGGAAGGGCTTTGGGGGGACCAGGGATAGATCAGCGCTCTCCTGGGGCAGAGGTGCCGTCCCAGAGCCTGGGATCAGTGAGTGGAGGTCCTGGCGACAGGGGACGAAACTGGGGGCCCCTCAACTCTAGGAAACCCATCGCTTCGCTAAGAGGAGGGAGGGCGAGGTGCCTGGTGGGGTCTTCCTGGCTCCGTCGGGGAGGGCTGTCCCCGCACTCACGCCGTCGCGGGCGGCTCCGCGGGGCCGGCTCAGCTGCCGGTGCAGCGCCGCGCAGGCCTCCTTCACGCGCGGGCTCAGCTCGCACCTGGCGGGAGGCGGGAGGAGCTCAGGAGGGGTCTGGGGCGCGGGGCCACCGGACCAGGAAAGAAGCGGCCGTCCCCACCGCGGGTCACTCACCTTCCCGGCGCGCCGGCCTGGGGCTCTGCCTCCGCCTCGGGCTCCCGCTGGGGCTCCCGCGCATCCCCGTGGCCGTGGCCGGGAGAGCCAGGGGCACCCGAGTCGGACCCCCCGCCGCCGTCGTCCGAGGAGCTGCTCCTGGGGGCCTCAGCGGCGCCCTCCTCGCTGTCGCTGTCGCTGTTGCCCTCGCTGGACGAGCTCTCATACCTGCGGGCGGGGTGCGGGCGCTGCTGGGCCTCCCCTGGGAGCGCGTTCTGGACTCCCACAAGGTAAGACTACCCCGTTTTATGGGCCTCCCCGGTGGCGCAGCGGTTGAGCACTGGGTTGCGAAGCTGCCCGCAGCCTCTGTGGCGCCGGTTCGATCCCCGGCTGTTCCCCGGCCACTGGAGGAGGGTCCCACATGGCGCGCAGACCTCTCCTGCCGCCCGCTGCTCCCCTCAGCAGTGTACTTCGGTCCTTCTGCCTGCTCTGCTCCCCGCTCTGGCTCTGGTGAATTCTCTCACCCTCCCACGCTTCTGACTGTACCCAGTGCTTGTATAAACAAATACATAAATAAATCTTGGGGAAAAAAAAAAAAAGACTACCCCGTTTTACAGACGATCAAACAGGCTAGCCAAGACCACCCTGCCTGGAAGGGGTAGAGCTGGGATTCAAGCCCCAGTCCATGCCCACCCCTGCCCCCCTCCCCCCCCCATGCCGCCATGGGGAGGGGGAAGCGCTCACTCTCCGTTCAGGACCCCGACGAACTGCAGGCTCTTGGGGCCCGGGCTGGGCTGGGCTCCGGGTGTGCCATCTCTCTTCTTCATGATGGATTTCAAGATGCCTGGCGGAGATCAGGGCCAGGGCACTAAGTTCGGGTCTGGCTGCCAGGAAGGCCGGGCTCAGCGAGGGCTCAGGACTCACCCGCGGGCGCCGCGGCCCTGTCCCCATCCGTGGGCTCGGGCAGGTTCTCCTGTGCCAGGGACGGGGCCTCCGCGGGGGGCTCGGTCTGCGTGGCCTTCTCGGCACAGCCCCACGAGGTCTGGGTGGCAGCCTCCTGCTGCTGGGGCGGGGCCACCGCCAGGGCTTCGCCCGCAACCTCTTCCAGCTCGTGCAGACGGCCCCGCAGGAGCTCACTCACCCCGCGCTGGTGCTCCAGGCTGGCTCGCAGCAGTTCCACCTCACGCTCTGCGGCCTCGGGCAACCCCAGCAGCGCCTCTGTCACCCATGTGTCCGCCTCGACGGTGTCGGGGGCCGCCGCCACACTGGCATTCTCGGTCTCCCGCACTGCCTGCGCTCCCGTCTCTTGGGTCTCCGGCACCGCCTGCACGCTGGCCTCGCGCGCCTGGGGCTCCCCGTCTGGGGTCCCGTCCGCCCTGTCGAGGACCTGGAGCTCCTCTTCGCTGCGCCGCGAAGGAGATCCGTCGGGACCATCAACCCGGGGGCTTGCCCTGGCGCGAACGCCGCGCTCGGAGGTGGCCAGACGCTCGGTAAGCCGCCGCAGCTGAGCAAGCTTGTCCGGGCGCGCCTCTGCCGCGCCTTCGGGTTCCGACTGCGCGCGCCCCGCCAGCAGACGCGCCTTCTCTGCGCGTAGAGCGCGCACCTGCTCCTGCAGCTCGGGCAGCGCGCGCGCCTGTTCCTCGAGCTCACGCAGGCGCCGCAGCGCCACGGCCATCTGCTCGCGCACCTGCTGCAGCTGCGCGGGGCCCGGAGAGGCGGGGTTGGCAGCCGGGCCCGCGGCGGGGCTGCAGCCGCCAGACCCACGCGGGCTGCGCGGGACCACGCGGGCAGGGCTGGATGCGCGCTCCTGCGCCAGCTGCAGGCGCCGGCTGGTCTCCAGGAGCGTGTGCTCCACGCGCGGGTTGCGCGCGGGTAAGCGCGGCGACAGCAGGAGCCCCGAGGACGCGCCCGGGGAGAGTGCGCCCTGCGCTCCTGCGTCGTCACTGGCCAAGGACTCGCTGGATGTCCAGGCGCCTGGGCTGCGCACGCCTGCCAGGCCGGCCCTGGACGCTCGCGGGCGGCGCGCAGACGGGAGTCCTGGGGTGCGGCGGGCTGCAGGGCCGCGCTCCAGCTCCTCGATGTACTTGAGGAAATCCAGATCCAGGTGGAAGCCATAGGGTGTCTCCACTGAGTAGGGCGAGCGCGGGCTTCGGGCGCCCTGGGTCGGACCCGGGCACAGATGAGGGCCGCCCAGGTCTGCGGGCATGATGGGAGCGTGGGAGGTGGTCAAACTGGGAGACCGGGAGACACCCGACAAACAGAGAGCGTCCCCCACCGCCCACAACACACCAGCATGGCCCCACCAAACTCTGCACAGCTGCCATTGCGCACAGCATCCCCCTGGCGCAAAAGCTGTCTGTACCCAAGCAGTTGCTCAGTCGGGTGCGTTCTGAGTGCCGCCGATATGCCAAGCACGTTCTAGACACCGGGGCCACAGCAATGACCAAGACAAACATCCCTGCCCGCTTGGAGAGGATAAATAAACATGGTCATTCCAACAGCACAGGGTAATTATCACAAAAGATGGAGTAAAGATTATAACTGGAGGAGGCTGAGCTTGGCTCTGGTTGTCAGGGCAGGTTTCCTGCGGAGGGGACTTAAAAGTTCACTAATGAGGAGGAAGAAACCAGGGAGAGAAGTTCCCTAAAAGAAAACAGTTTCCATGCAAAGGCCCTGGGTTAGCGTGAACAGGGAACAGGGTGTGCAGGAGGAGAGATAGAAGGATGCCAGCCAGGGTGAACCCAGCAAGCAGGGAGGGGGGCAGGAGAACAGTGGAGAGATGGGCTGGAGACCAGAGTGGGGAGAGCTACACAGCCGCCATGACACGGGGCACGGCAGATGGTTTTAAACAAGGCCATGACATTAGCCAACGGGCATTTGGAAAGGCTCCTGGCCATTGGGGAAAGCAGACAACTGCAGACCCGGGTCCACAACAGGCGCTGAGTGCGGATCTGTGCACACTCGTATCCCATTTTGTACACTCACCAGGCAGACTCTGATTCAGGGCAAACTCGGCCATGTTTCCTGGAGTAATCGCCAGACACACCCTGAAAAATGTCCCCAGAGAGAGTGAGGGTGGGGCCAGGCCTGTCCCTGTGCCTGTACCTCTGGGGGTCAGCCTGGACTCCGAGTGAATAAACAAACCCCAAAGCTCCTGCCTTCCCCCACCCCGCTCCACACGCATGCCCTCTCCTACCTCCTTCCTCAAAAGACCTTAAAACTTTGGAATGAACCAATGTGGGGACCCCCAGGTGCCAGGAGGGCAGGAGGAGGCAGGAAGGGCATAAAAAGAAGAGAGTAAGGTATTCGAGAAAACAAAAGTAGTTGGCGGTGGCAGCGAGGGGGGTGTTCTAGACCTGCTGCGTTTTCTTTCAGCCCCTGGAAAACCTACAAATTGTTGCTCAAAGGGGGAGGGTTTGTGAACCTTTAGAAGAGGAAAGAGAGTTGGAAGCCCTTCGTGGGCTCATTAAAAACTCATCTGGTTAGATTCTGCCTGCTAACAACAAAGAATCTCTTGATTTTTTCCTTCTCAGAGAAATGCAAACAAGATATAATTTGTGATCTGAATTTTTATTCAGGTCACTGGTAAGACCCTCGTAGGAATGGAGAGGTGTGGAGAACTTGCAAAATCCACGGATGCCTGTCTCCCTGGGGGTCACTAGTGAGGTGTCCGGGCTCTGCCCTGAATTTGGGGAGCTTGCAATGGAACCACAAGCACCCAGCTTGTCAGAGACCCTCCAATCCTGGCCCGAGATGGGGTGGAGGAGGGGCCAGGGACCTCCTCGGTGGTCACGCACGGGGCAAGGCGAGGAGTGAATCCTTGAGAGGCTGAGGGAGGCCGGAGGCTTTAAGAAGCTGAGGAGACTGGGACACATCTACTAATGGAATCTGTTTATCAAGGACAAATTTTGAGTGCAGAATTCCAAAACTTGGATTCTGAAAGCACAGGTGGGAAAGGTGGGGTTTTGAGGAGCCTCATGAAAAACTCTCGAGAAGCACAAGCAGCTGGTATCAAGTGCCGACTGTGTGCCCCACCGACCACAGGTAGACACCACGCAGTCCTGCATGGTAGGTGTTGTCATTCCCAGCTTCCAGATGGAGAAACGAAGGCACAAAGCAAATACATCAATTGCCTGTGGGGAACACCCTCTGGTTGAACCCCACTCATCTTCTGGGCACTCCAATTCCCCAGGCCTCCACTGGCAGGTGCTCTCTCTGACTCAACCACTCATTTGTGCCGAGCACCTGGACACCTTCCCAAGTCACTCCTTCTGCCCTCTGGCACCTTGATGGCACCTGTGGCCTAACACCCACAGCAATTGGGTATCCATCAACCTGACTCACTCTGCTCCTCTGCTGGGGGGACCCTCCCAGGGTCCCTCTGTGTGGCCTGGGTCCCTGGCACCTCCTCTACCCCACTTCGGGCCAGGGATTGGAGGGCCTCCTGTCGGTCCCCACAGCTGTTTCCCATCTCCTCACGCCAGCTGAGAAGGGGGGGCCTGCAGGCCAGCAGGGCACTGCAGAGGACAGCCAGTGCCTCTCTTGACTTGTTTTCAGGAAATGGTCAGGGAGGAACCAGGTGGTGGAAAAAACCTGGGCCCAGGCTTGGGGGTCTAGGCCTGCCTCTCACACATCGGCTGTGTCACCCAGTGGGGTCAGCGCCTCTTCTGGTGAGCTGGTCGTTCCCAAACCCAGGTCCTGGGAACACAAAGCACAGCTGCGGGCCACCTGGAAGACCCACGCCCGGAGAGCAGCCAGGCCCAGAGCTGGGCTGAGAACTAGCGGGCACCCCAGGAATGGGAACTCCTAACCACAGCAAGCAACATGTTTGCCACTTAATCGACCAGCCGCAATCCCTAACCAATCTACAGATATTAACTTTTTTAATCCTAGTGAAACCCTCTGACATCAGTTTTCTTATTATCCTTATTCCTCCCCCCACTTAAAGGATGGAGAAACTGAGTCCACCGAAGACTAGGTGGGCTCCCTCCCCCAGGTCACACGGGAACTGAGGCAGGATTTGAGCCCAGGTGGAATGGCCGGTGCTTTTGCATGGGTCATGCCACTAGACAGCCTTCTAGAAACAGAGGGGGTTCAGCTCTCCCAGGCTGCGCCCATGCCTATCCCAGTGCGCGCCTTAAAGGGGGGGTGGGTGCCCCGCACCTGCCCGGTGACACTGGGCACGGCAGCCCCACCGGCGCGGGAGCTCGCAGCAACACTCCCTCTGCTCTGCTCCCAGCCGAGCTGTCAGGGCTGGATCGGATCCTCCGCCTGAGACCCATTCATTAGGCCGTCAGAGCCCACGCCACACGCCCCCACGCCCGCCCCAGGGACTATTTCGGGACTCGGAGCTATGATTACAAACACGAAAGGGTGGGGAACAGGGGCGGTCAGCGCGGATCCCAGTCCTGGGGAGGGGGCTCCGCTGGGCTTCAGCTGTGGGCGCTCCCTACCTGTGCTGGGGCGGGACTCTGAGGCCCTAAATGGGGTGGAAGCTGATAATGGTGGAAGGGGGTCAGGTCAGCACCCGCCACCCCCTAAAGCTCTCCCCGGCCCCAGCCCCGACCCAGGACAGCCTCGCGCAAAGACAGAGCAGTTTCCTGCAGGAAACGCCGCCGGGCGGTTCCATCCGCTCCCCATTGTCTGCTGGCGGGGGCAGTCGGTTCCTCCCCGCAGCCCCGTTTCCGCAGCACCCCCCCCCATATACACACACCCAAGTCCAGCGCAAGGGGCTGGACCCGGGTCCCCAAGTTGTCCAGGAGTTAAGCTGGCAAAGGTTTCCGGAGTTGGCTGGGGCGCTAGGGGGCGAGCAACCCCCCCACTTGGCTCCTGAAGGGCGGGCGGAGGGCGACCTCACAAATCCACAGCCCCCCACTCCGTTCGCTACCCACCTGGAGCTCGCAGAGAGGGAGGGGGTTCCAGCCCGCGGACAGGGCGCCCACCCCGTCGCAGCGCGGAGCCCGCAGGGGGGCTGGAAACGCAGCGCCCCGTCCCGCTGCGTCCCCGATCCCCCCACCCGGACCCCGTCGGTGGCCCGGAGGCTGGTGCTTTACCTGAAGTCGCGGCCCCAGCCGCTCCCGCACCCGCGCCCGCCCCCTCGGGGCGCGGGGCAAGATTATCAAGGCTTTGGCCCTAACTGACGGCCCCGCCAGCCAACCAGCGCCCGAGGCCCGCGAGCTGCCCAATGGCAAGGCGGGGTGGGTGGGCCGTGCCGGCGGGCGCGGCCCGTGGGGTGGGGCTGGAGCGCGGGTCCCCAAGGGTGGGCCGCGCGGCGGGGCCGGGCGAGGGCTACGGAGGTTGCGTGCGATCCGCTGGCCACTCGGGAGCCCTGGGAAAACTGAGCGGGAGAGTAACCCGGTGGGATTTGTGTTTGTAGCTCTTTCGGGTGGAAGCTGGAGAGACGGACGGGTGCTGCAGGCCCAGAGCCTGAGCCAGGGGCCCGGACGCTGGAGCTTCGGCACCACCGGGGCTTTGCACATGCTGTTCCACTTTCTTGAACTGCCTTTCCCCGCACATGTTCACCCGACACCTTCTACTTTAGGGGCCTCAACCTGTGTGCTCTAGTCCCCTGAAGGTCTAGCAGGGCCCCTCTCCAGTCAGCCGTACCTGTATCGGCATTCTTTCAATCCGGTAGCTGCTGTCACTACCTGAGATTAATAGAACCTGTGATTTGTTTACTTGTTTTCCATCTGACGTGTCAGCACCATAAGGACAGGGAACTGGTCAGTATCGGTCACTGCCTAATCCAGTGTCCCTGACAGTAGGTGCTTAATAAATGTATGTTGAAATAGTGATTTGGTCAAACAGTGATTTAGCATTTTAACCCATTTGGAATATAGGTACGTTCCTCTCAGCCAGGGGAGGGTCATTCCAAGATCCCCAAGCACTGTGGTTTTCCCTGTGCACACATACATACCTACCGTACAGTTTAATTTCTAAATTAGGCACAGTAAGAGATGAACAACAACAACATAATAAAACAATTACAGGGACCTCCCTGGTGGCGCAAGGGGTTAAGTCTCAGCACTATGAATGCAATCCGCAGCCTCTGCAGCACAACCTCCAACCCTGGCCAGGGAGCTACCCACACGGCGCAGCAGACCTCTCCTGTCTCCCTGCTGCTCCCCTCAGCAGTGGATTTCAGTCAGTCTGCCCATTCTGATGCCCACTCTGTCTCTGGTGAATCTTCTCACCCCCTGTACCTCTGGCCTGTACTCCAGTTCTTTTTCTTTTTTCTTTTTTTTTTTTTTAAGATTTATTTATGTGTATGAGAGCTGGGGTACAGAAATCCAGCTCAAGGGGGAACATTGGTATAACCTCCCCCTGCACTTAATCAGCTACCCCAGAAGCTCCTCATGGGCCACATCCCAGGCACAGCCACATCCTCACTCTGCGACATCCCTGCAGTGACCTCTGCAGCAACTGCTACCTTGCATTTCTGAATAGTCACCTGAGAGTGCCTGCACCTGCGGGAAGGACAGAATCCAGCACAGTGTCTCACAGCAGAGTTCCGTCTTGTCCACTCACAAGAGAAAACAATATGTTAAGTCTTTTCACTCCCAGGCTGCCCCTCCAACCTCTTCCCCCGCTCACAATAAGTCCATTGCACAACACAGGCTGTTTGTTCTGAAGTGTTTCCTGGGGTCTGGTGTCGCTGATGCCGCACGGACGTTGCACTCCAGGGCCTCTCTGTCCTCCACAGCCCCTGTCAATTGGCACTTGGTTCTGGAGCTGGGGCCAGACTTTGGCTTATTTCTTTTTTTTTTTTCTTTTTAAAGATTTATTTAATTTATTTATGCTTACAAGAACTGGGGTACAGGCCAGAGGTGTGGGAGGTAAGAGGATGCACCAAAGACAGAGTGGGGAGCAGAACAGGCGATCCACTGAAATCCGCTACTGAGGGGAGCAGCGGGGAGACAGGAGAGGTCTGCTGCGCCATGTGGGTCAGCTCCCTGGCCGGGGATCGAACTCGTGCTGCAGTGGCTGCCAGTAGCTTCATAGTGCGGAGACTTAACCCCTTGCGCCACAGGGAGGCCCACGTGCACTATTTTCCCCTGTAGCACTCAGAGCCTTATACAGCCTGTGCTTTCCCCACTGGAATGTCAGCCACCCTTTCTGTCTTCTTCACCGGCTGGTTCTCGGAGCCGGGAACAACGCTGGACACACGAAAAGTGCTCAATGAACACTTGTTCATTGAACGAAAGGAATGAAAGGGGAAGTTGAGTTCCATAAAGACCAAAATTTCCAAGGCCTCAGGGGTGTCCAACCCAGCCAGCCAGCGTGGGGGGGTGTGCCCGGGAGGGGCCATGCTGACTGGGCGGGTGAGGAAAGGAGATGCAATTATCTTACACCTTTTAGTAACTTTTTCTCCCAGATTCCTGGCATCATTCATGGTACAAAATGCCGCCCTTCTCTGTCCCACCCTGTTCCAGGCAGAGGCTTAAGCCAAAGGAGAGGGGAGGGAGGGAGGGAGAAGGAGGTTCCTGGCCACTCCAGGACACTCGTGAGTCCTTGGGAGCCACTTCGCCAGCTTGAGGGCTCCAGAAAACACCAGAACAGCCCCTGCCCTGCTGTGGAATGCCCAGGGGACCTG